GTTTTCATGTTATTTTCAAATATATATTTTTTTGTCGTACTGTTAACATTGAAATTTAGCCTATTTTTCCGCTGTTTGTAAAATTGCTGTAACATGTCATAGGAGATTGCTGTACATGCCTGTAAATGGCTTACATACCAGTACTTAATTTTATACATGTTAATTTTAAGCTTGAATGTTTTGTGTGTATTGCTGTTGGTGTGTCTAAATAAATAAATTTGAAAACGAAAATAATGAACTCAGAAATGCAGGGAACGTTACGGAGTGCACAGATTTATAAACAATCAATATATAAGGAATACAGCCATAGCATACCATACAGGACGAAGGATTTTATGAAAACAATGAACAGACAAACAAGGATTAATAAAGAAAAGAAAACATATTATTTGCAATGCATCTATCTAGCCTAAAGCATCTCGTTGTTGTATAATAGCAATATCTATTTTAATTGTTCATTTCAATGAGTAATCGGGCCAGATAGTCATTTGACAATAGCACGTCTGTTTATTAATCGGTATGACTAAATAAAAGATCTCAGATACCGTCCAACTGCTCACCATGCACCCGCAGTATTAGTAAAGTCATCCTATTACCCTATCTAACTCCTTGGTACTGTCACTGTCTTGTCTCCTCATCTGCTTCTGCCGTGTCGTATCAGGACGGGTATTCACGTTGTAACGTTTATAAACTTAATAATGGCAATAAAAGTATAAGATACAAGCGGCCCGCTCCGGCTCCGGCTTAGTAAGGATCCCTAATTTTTTTCAAAAAAGATGTTCACTCGGGAATAGTGTAGCTTCCAAACAGTGAAAGATTTGTTGTTGTTGTGGTTATTGGAGTCCATGGACATCTACGACATAAATGCGCCACACACCTTGAGATATAAGGTCTCAAGTACAGATACAACGGCTGCTCTACCCTTCAAACCGAAACGCATTTCTGCTTCACGGCAGAAATAGGCAGGGTGGTAGTACCTACCCGCGCGGACTCACAAAAGGTCCTACCACCAGTAATTACGCAAATTATAATTTTTCGGGTTTGATTTTTATTACACGATGTTATTCCTTCACCGTGGAAGTAAATCGTGAAGATATTTTGTTGAGTACGTATTTCATTAGAAAAATTGGTACCCGCCTGCGGGATTCGAACACCGGTGCGTCGCTCAACAACAATGCACTGGACGTCTTAACCTATAGGCCACGACCACTTCAAATCGGTACAGTAGTTTTGGAGCCTATTCAATACAAACAAACAAACAAATATTTCCTCTTTATAATATTAGTATAGAAGTATAGACTACGCAATTCGACTTTCGCGTTGCTGCATCGCGTCCTTGTGTGGCAGAGCAGGGTCGGATCACAACGACCGTTCTGTATTCGCACATGTGATGAACGCTGCGCTATCGCCTCCGCGTCGGTCGCACCGCACTCAGTTCCTGTCGACTCGCTCTTATCGCGAATGCATAATAGTTTCGACCTAAACTATTGAATACTGCTTGTGTTCTGTAAAATAGAGTTTGTTTTAATGAGGCATAAGGGAGCATTACGTTCAATCAACAAACATTTTACTGTGACTATGATATTTAATATATCTCCATTCATTTTTAATTATAGGAGTTTTTTCGTGCCTTAAAATTCGAGAAATGATAATATTAGGAATCATGTTATTTTCTCGTTCATTGCTAGCTCCATCTCATTATCTAAAGCTGATTATGAATAAGAAATTCAATGAATGTCACGCAGACGATGCGGTGCCACTGCGTAAAATTATACCACAATATGACGAGAAACAGTGCCGCCCACAGTGGCACGTAGGTAAGATGTTGTGAGCTATGTTTTTTCTTTCTTCATATCCTATTCGATAGTGTAAACACTTGATCATTTATCCTCGATAAAATTTGAACGATACCCACAATACTATTTATTTATTTCCTTGAAGTTAAACGTTAATTAGAGTAGAGAGTAGTAGTAGTAGAAATAAAGTTAAGCATGAAGTCCGATACTAATTTCTGGCCTTATATTTGTTCAGATACTTATTTCAGAAATAATAATTCGGTGACTTGACTGTCTCTTGATTGATAACTTCGCCAAATCAGACCTGGACTGGAGATCAGCATGGTCTACCCTCGTAATTCAAAGATATCTCAGATCAAATGCAAAACTCAACTGCACGGATGATGGAGTCATAATAATCTAAACTTATCTACCCATCTATTATTTAAGGGGCAGGGCAACATTTTCTCGACACTTCGAATTTTGAGGATCTTTGTGTCATTCCCTTATCTTGTATCCTTTTCATTTCCAAATACCATTCGCAAGGTTTTCGTTATATTGATACAGGATAAGGACCGATGTTCATACGGACCAATTTTCATCAAGTATACTGCAGGTTCGTTTGCTTATAAGGCAATAAGAAAAGCTTATGACATTGTACTGTGATTGATAAAGTACGTGATGCATAACTACCAGCTTTCCTTAAAGAATCTTCAAATGGCGTCATAAGTCAATTTCAATTTGCGTAGGTACTGGATATTTTAAAAATTCTAAGAGCGCCCCAAGACCGCGTCTGAGCCGATTGCCACAAAACCTGTCTGTCTCTATTCGTGTCCCTATAGACCCAGTAATATCCGTAATTGTATGTTATACCACGTGACATTATTGAGAAACATGTATGTTTGAAATTCGAAAACGCGTGTGGTCCAAACAATTATCGTTCAGATAAGCGAAGTAACAGCAAGATGTTTAGTATGCCGTTTGAATGAATATCTGAGTATCAGCTGTGTCACTTTGTTTTGTTAGCCTTTTATGAATTGTTTATTTAATATTCAACAATTTTTTATAAAAAATAAATAATAGTTTAAAAAAAACTAACAAAATACGCTTTTATAGAAAATCCAACTAAAAATAGAAAATAAATTTTCATAAATTTGTATTCAAAATAGTGTAAGAAAAAAAATGATTTTATTTTAAAAAAGCGTGGGGGGAAAAATTATTTTCTATTTTTAGTTGGATTTTCTATAAAAGCGAATTTTGTTAGTTTTTTAAAACGATTACTTATTTTTCATTTTCTTGTCGAAATTCAATTTTTTCAAATTTTTTTTTTTCAACTTTTTTTTTTCAATATTTATTTGTCATCGGTCCTTAATAAGTATACCAAATTTCGAGTTAATCTGACGTTTTGAAGGGGGTCAAAATTATGTTCAAAGATTCCGTTACAAACATACATACGTCTGAAGCTAATAAAAGCGTATTAATAAGCAGAATTTCTGCATAATTTTAACCCTATCAAGTAAAATTGGCATAAATATTTTACTGTGAACATATTATTGTTTGGTTTAATATATATTGCTTAAGTACACGTTTGATAATGAATTTCTCGCGAACTGGTCTGGCTTATGTTTATGAAAAATAATGTCTAAATTAAACTGAGCTACGGAGTATCTGGAAGTCGCATCTCCTTAAAGTTTATACTATAGATATCGCCCTAAAAGCCTCTGCAGACGATAAGTGGTCATTTGTTTACAAAGCATAACCACCGTCCGAAATACCTTGGCAGGTGTTCCCTATCTTGTTCAAAGTGAATTATCATATTTTAGCGTTCACTGGCCGTTTATGGATTTCAATGGTTTTTTTTTGGATGGTTGGATTTATCTAAGAAAGGGCTTTTCGACGTTACCAAACATTCTAAGCTATGTTATTCTGTGTTGGAAGCATGCGTGAATAAATCTCTATATATAAAAATGAATTGCTGTTCGTTAGTCTCGCTAAAACTCGAGAACGGCTGAACCGATTTGGCTAATTTTGGTCTTAAATTATTGGTAAAAGTCCAGAAAAGGTTTAAAAGGTAAAAAAAAAAAAATTTTTTTTTTTTTTCGTCAGACGGATTCCTTTTGTTTGTTGTATGTTTATTTTATACAAAAGCTTAGGTCTTTTATTTATCGATTGAGGCACTACGAAGTCTGCCGGGTCAGCTAGTCATTGATATTTTTGTTGTGAAGACATACATATGGTCGTTGTGCCGTGGACTTTGGTAATATTAGACATGTCGGTAGTGCTTTGGATCCTCATTTCGATCTTCGAATCGTTCAAGTGAAATGTTCACTGAAACTCAAGAGTCTAAAGTTGTTTAAAACACGTTAAGCATGTTTTTCTGAAGTATTACTGGTGATACGACACATTATGAGCTCACACTGGCACCTCCATCCTGTATATTTCTGCCCTAATGCAGCTCTGCATTGTGATACTCTTTAAGAGTAGATATCGGCACTTATAGTGTAATTATAGGGCACATATAGGGTACTTAAAAATAAACGTTTTGACTTGTTTGCTGTTTTAATTTGTAGACCATAATTTTGTTGATATGAAGACATTTATAGGCAAATAATTATTAATTCATGTCTAATCGACTAGTTTTTCTAATACTTTTGTATTTATGTTGATACACCTTTTAACCGACTTCAAAAAAAGAGGAGGTTCTCAATTCGACTCTATGTTTTTTTTAAATATTTGTTACCTCATTTGACTGGGTGAATCGATTTTGATGATTCTTTTTTTATAAGAAAGCTGACGCTTCCCATGTGGTCCCATTTCAATTTAGTCCAGTGATAATGGTATCCATGCGAAAGTCATATAAGTTTTAAATTTGCATTAAGTACGTGCGCGACAAATAGATGAATAACTCAGTATCACGCCAACCGATTTCGATGGTTATTGTTTTGGTGCATATTAATTTTAATTTTTTATTTATTGCTTAAATGGGTGGACGAGCTCACAGCCCGCCTGGTGTTAAGTGGTTACTGGAGCCCATAGACATCTACGACGTAAATGCGCCACCCACCTTGAGATAAGTTCTAAGGTCTCAAGTATAGTTACAATGACTGACAAGAGGTCCTGCCACCAGTAATTTGTTTTGGAATATCTTTTTTGTTCTATTTGAAGTCGGTTTTTGTTAAAGCATGTCTATTTACTATTATTTAGTTGTGATTCGTTGTTACACAGATGTGCCTGACGGAATGGATCAGACTGCGTGACGACAAGGCCCGCAGACCGCGTGCGCTTTTCGGCCGAGAGCTCCCGGCTTGGCTCTGGGAGTCTTACCAGGTCGTCGGCGTGTTCCTCTTCGGTTGCGCCTGTCAGCAGCTGACCACCGACGTGGCCAAGTATTCGATAGGAAGACTGAGGCCGCATTTCTTCGATGTGAGTATTGTTAAGAAATGACAAACGAACGTCACATGAGATGTCACTGTCAACGTTGTGGCAAATGTCATTGACATATTTCATGAGTGAACGCTCTGAAAAAAATTATATTGTCTGCATTTCCTGTATCCGGACGCTTGGTTGTTGATCGCGTATTGTACGTTAAGATGTAAAAAATAACCTCAAATAAAAATTATAGGTAATTATTTTAAAGAAAAATTAGAAATAAATAGGTCCAGTTAAAAAACAAGCCAGATTTTCATTAAGTATATTAGGCGAATTCATTTTTGTGCCGTCAATCATAACATGTGCTGTGAGCTGTGTTTGTTTGTTAATAATTCAGTAACAGCAAAGTAGTGGATCGAAACGGGTTTTTGCTCGAACAGGTTGAGAGATGTAAGGTGACATGGATTACTTGTTATCTCTGTTTCATTATTCCAGAATAATAAAGTCGTAACAACTGAAACAGCGGGGCGTACTTAGTTGAATTATACACGAGAAATTTTTACTTTTAGGTTTACTTAATTATTCGTTTGGGTCCATGGCCCAATGTGGAATATTGCATTATTTATAGTTTTCCATTATTTTTTACGGTACTACTATTAAATTTGAATGTCATTTCAAATTTATTAGATGACGTTCGTTTGGATGTCTTTTTGGAAGTGGCATTGAATTGCTTGCCTCAAATTTGTTATTTAAAAGGAATGCTATACATAAGTGAATCCCAGGGAAAAAGAGATTACAAAAGCAATAACATCCAAAAACATGACGGATAATTGTCAAGTTAAACAAGTAATATCGGTTTTTTCAACGAACCGGTCACGCGATGGGATATGTTTATTTACGTTCCAGGAAATTACTTTTCACTCCTATAGCATATTCGATCTAAAGTCTTGTGCCTAAAGCCAATATCAATACAAAGAATCCACTAGTTTCTTTCTGCAAATCTCACGCGTTCCAGCTAGCAATGTCAGGTAACGATCCTTCAAAATATTTGTCTCGCTTTTACGCCAACAACAAAAATAGCCTTAGAGATGATCAGTACATCATACATGTGTCTATTCTCAGTCGTGCCCTTTTCTACTGCAACGTATTTCGTACCTTACGGTTTCAATTTTAAGGCTGCGATTCCGATGAACTTCATCTCGTCTTCAAACTCGAGCGACGGCTTTATTTTGTCTATACACTCCGTTACGCTCCCGAATCCCATTGTGTCGTCAGCTCGCCAACTGACACACTCGTGAGTTTAAAAATAAATTAAACTATCAACTTGTTAGGTCAGCAAAAGAAAAACTAAAGTCTAAACAAATCAAAATTATCACCTCTAAAACTATTTTACAGCACAATAAAACGGATCTAATGGAAGATCGTTAAATTACTATAATGTTATGTTTATTGGTGTCGCGATGTCATTTTACGGTCGGTTACTAACAGCAACTATAGGATGTTGAAGATCTTTATTGCCTATACCACACTTCAGGTGGTGGGAAATAGATGTTCACTAGTTTACCTCGATTGTTATGTATTTTTAAAGTATTATCATCGTTTTATGAGTCGGTATCCTCCAAAGAACTCATATTGGCTCTATACGCCTGAAATAATGTGTTATTGATTATTTTTTTCTAATTGGGTCTTGTCCATTTTGAATTATGAGAATGATCGTCTCATTTTCATTTTACTTCTGCGTCATCTGCTGTCGAAATAGAGTAATATTTACTTACTTACCTTACGGGCTTGGTACTCAGCCAATTTCAAGAGATTCCTTTTTGCTAAATACGTTTATATCAGGATAAGCACTAAACTACCCTCATCGATGTGAAAAAAATTATCTCTAAAGCGTGTTTTAGATAATCATTAGCAATTGATGATGGTGATGATATTAACACTAATAATTGATAATCCAAATATAAATACAGTAGCAAGTTCAAATTGACAGGTGAAAGAGAATTATCTATCTATCTATATATATATAAAAATGAATTGCTATTCGTTAGTCTCACTAAAACTCGAGAACGGCTGGACCGATTTGGCTAATTTTGGTCTTGAATTATTTGTGGAAGTCCAGAAAAGGTTTAAAAGGTAGATAAATATGAAAATCTTTGTAATTAAATAAAAATAACAATTTTGTTTTTCCTTTGATGTGTCCCCCGTCGGACGGATCTCTTTTGTTTGTTTTAAGTATATTTTATACAAAAGTTTAGGTCTTTTATTTATCGATTAAGGCACTACGAAGTCTGCCGGGTCAGCTAGTTATTTAAATAAGAAAATAATGAGATTCTCAACACTTCGTTCCAGAGTAGATTTTGTCATACATTATTACTGGAAATATACCTCTGCCAACTGTATCGTATCAAGCTATATTTAACCATCTAAACAAAAGACGGTTGGCGGTAACAACGCTACATCAGAAGGACTCGTCAATTTTTTATTCAGACCACTTTTAAAATGTACTTATTCGAATTATCCAATTCATTTTTTATCATAAGAGGATTTATTAGCTATCAATGGAGAACGGTTTTCTTACGGTCGGTACGCGTGTCGGTTGTTGTAATATTTGGTAGTTTATTTAGTGTAATATCAATCATATTATAGGTCACCGACTGTTTTGCTCTACCTATTCGCTTGTAACCTAAGAAGCTATTGCAGCTACGCCGCGACGTATTAATCTTTTGTCAAAAATAATGTTGTAGCTGCAAAGTTGTAAGTAATCATATGTTTTTTTTTTGTTGCTTAGATGGGTGGACGAGCTCAGAGCCCACCTGGTGTCAAGTGGTTACTGGAGCCCATAGACATCCACAACGCGCCACCCACCTTGAGATATAAGTTCTAAGGTCTCAAGTATAGTTATGTGTACGTGCTTACGAGATTTACAATTATCCTTTTGTAAAGCACAAAACAAAATCAGCCTTAAAGCTTTCGAGCACGAATGCAAACGAGAATGAATTAAGAATCAGCGTCTGAATTGCCCGATTTTGGCTACTTTTGTTTTTAATGTATATTTTTGTCTTTTAGGTCTTTTAGAAATAGATTCATTCTCAGTATCTTCGGATTCGTCTTTCCTAAATTCTATTACATATCTGGGATCTTAGTAACAAAAATCGACATAACTGCTTAAAGTAGTGGTCCCTTTGTAGTCGAAATTCGACTATAATTAATTGAAATTATAAATTTGAACATTATTAAGGTTCTATTGTCAAAGACTATATTTTATACGTCATTAATCACAGATTTCGCCAAGACTAAATTGACCATAGACTTTAAGCAATATTTAAAGTTTGTTAATAAACGAAAAGTATATTATATATGTGTGTCAAATACATGATAGTGTGTGTCACATTTCTTTTATTGATTTAATGCATTTTATAAGCATAATTTAAAAAAAAAAATTGCATTCTGTACTCCCTCTCTATATTCTCTATGAGTGTGGGAAATTTCATACTCCTCCGTCTGCGCAATGTTTGTAAAAAAGGGTACAAAGTTTTTGCTTCACATATTAATTATATAGATTTGCCACGTAGGGCACCGGTGACCGACGTGGCAGTCAAAGGGTTAAAAACTGGCAAAGTACCAAAAATATAACGAAAGATGCTAGTAAAAGGGACAGCTTTAACGATCAGAGGAAAAGAAGAGTTCGGGGCGTTAACCGATACGGGTTTTAAATAGGGCCTGTCAGCATTGTTGGTTTTGCAACATCAAAACAAATATCGTTCTCTTCCTTCCTTCTATTTTTTTTTTATTGCTTAGATGTGTGGACGAGCTCACAGCCTACCTGGTGCTAAGTGGTTACTGGAGCCCATAGACATCTACAACGTAAATGCGCCACCCACCTTGAGATATAAGTTCTAAGGTCTCAAGTATAGTTACAACGGCTGCCCTACCCTTCAAACCGAAACGCATTACTGCTTCACGGCAGAAATAGGCGGGGTGGTGGTACCTACCCGCGCGGACACACAAGAGGTCCTACCACCAGTAATTACGCAAATTATAATTTTGCGGGTTTGATTTTTATTACACGATGTTATTCCTTCACCGTGGAAGTCAATCGTGAACATTTGTTGAGTACCTATTTATTTCATTAGATTAAATTGGTACCCGCCTGAGATTCGAACACCGGTGCATCGCTCAACACGAATCCACCGGACGACTTATCCGTTAGGCCACGACGACTTCTAAAATTTCAACAAATATCGTTCACCTTCCTTCTATTAAATATTTCTTCCTTATATTAATTTAAAGGAGGGCATATATGAAACGCGCACGCACGGCTAGGCACCACTATCCTCCTGTCTGTGGCTACCGCGTTCCGGTTCTAGGGGTGGGACAGTCGTGATTTCAACCTCATGTCTCAAGCTCGGCGGCGGCATTCATGTGGTAATGTCTAACCGCTGAACACTTGGTGAGCCGTGAACTCACCCATCAAGTTCATCCATATACATTCATCAATAGAGAAACATTTTTAGTTGCTAGCCTTTAAATCCGAGAGCATCATTTCTTCTACAATACTCTCAGGTTATTATTATTATTATTTTTATAAATTTGTTGGTTTTAAAATACGAACCAAACAAAAGCCATATTCACAATTGACATTTTCAAAGTGTTGAATTTCCACAGCGGATGTCATTAGCACGACACTAAAAATAACATACGAGCTGCGCCCGCGGATCCGCTCACAACAAAAATCTTTTATTTTTTTTAATTTACTACCGAGTACACCGCGGGTTTTATCTTTCAAGCTACGATGACTTACCGAAGGTATCGACCAGAACTACTATATTATAAATATAATTTTAATGATACACGGATAGTTCTCGTGAAATTCCGAAATTATGTAGAAATTAATTATTAGATTTTTTGTTTCAATTAATTCGTTTTGTACTGTCTATTTTGCACTACAGATGTTACTAGATTTTACTAATATAGTGGTCCCCAGAATAAACTTATTTAAAAGCGACGTAAAAGATTCTTATGGATTTTTGCTTTTTGTTCTCTATATGTCGAGC